GGTAAAGTCTTTCCATCAGTATCCTTTTACAGGGTGGTTTGGGGGCTAAGATCTGTAACCTCCACATTCAAGAGAAAACTGATAACTATTTTTTGGTCCCGAGATCAAAGTTATTTACAGAACCATCTTCACATGTGGGTGGACAAACTACTTTTTTATCGAATGTGTGCTGCAACTTATTTTTTTTTATTGTACCATACCAACCTGAAATCAGTAAAAGTCTATTTTTCTGTCATTCTCTCCATTGAATTGGCTTCCCAGTGAGCTGAACGCGGAATAAGTATGAAGAAGTATTGCAAAGAACTCTGACTTATGATTACAGATTCTCTAGGTTTGTGCTGTTTTTGTTTCCTTTGAAATATTCTCTGATAAAGTTTATTTCCTCTTGTTCCACACATCATAAAATCCTAATACTGAATAATCTATCGAATAAAATTATACCCAGGTGAACTAAACTAGCCCTTAGGAGTGAGTGTGAGTGTGTGTGGTTGTTTGTCCCTTTGTCTACATGTGTGGCACTGCCATGGGTTGGGCGGACTGTCCAGGGTGACCCCGCCTCTCGCCCATTGACTACTGGGATAGGTTCCAGTCCCCCCGCGACTCCATTACGGAATAAGCGGTTACGAAAATGGATGGAAGGATGGATGAACTAAACTAATTTTAACTCCTTGCGACTGAGATCCATTCTCTAAGATGGAACTTTTTTACCGTCAAAATTTAAGTGACATTTCTTGATTTTTATCATACACAAAAGTGATCCCAAATTTCTGAAGCTGAAATACATGTTGTATGAAAAGTGCAGTTACTGTTGAGACCTGTGGAGGCTTCGAAGGGCTATCTCCTCATGGGGATCTTAAATTTGACCACGTGTGAAAAAACTGTCATTGAGGTGCAGGGCTTTTGTCTTACTTATTTGTGAAAATCACTTAAACAAACATGAAGTTTCCTGCATGATTGTTATTGTGTTAATTCATCTATTTTAATATAAGTGACTTTTAGTTTCTTTTTATACTTCATTTGCCAGACCAAATGCATTAAATATTACTTGTGCTGTGCACACTTTCCATGCTTGTTATCATCTTTAAGACCATAAAGTCTAGTTTGTTGATCTTTCTGGCACTTGTTTCAGCCTGATTTAAGCGTGTAATGACACAATTTGCCCATCGATTTCTCTGTTCCACATCATAACATGCTGATGCCTTATCAGGAACCCACTGCATCAATTTATCACCCACAAAATTCAGGATTTCCTATGACACAACTCATGTAGATATGAGTGTAATTTCCATGACACTTGTGGAGAATCTTTTCAAGGCTTTCTACTATAAAAATGTGTCTGTTTTATAAAGTTGAAGTGCTGTAAATCTTTACCAAAGAATTAGCAAATTATGGTATACCCTTTCATGTAGTTCAGTCAATAGTTTAAAGATTTCTGTAAATTCCAAAATATTACAGCAGCAACTTTACAAAATGATGTTAATAGCAAACCCAAACCCAGACTTTAACAAAAGTCGGCTGTTCTTGTCAAGTACTGATTTTATAACACTAGCCAAAAAGTTAAAGTTAGCATTTTTACTGAGGATTTGTTGCTTCCTGAATCAAAGAGGACTGGTAAAACACATTCAAACAGCCAAGAATAGGGTGAAGAGCACTCTAAATAAGTGGCCAGTCAACAAACCCAAACTGGTAATTTTTCTTTGAAAGTTCAGCCGAAAGAAGGTGAACAATTTAAACAACAGGTCATTTCACAGCTTTTTTGTGGATGCAGGGCTAGGGTCCAAAGCAGTTTGGACCCCAGCAGCATAATGGAAAAAAGAAGACTAGTATTTCTATGTGAAGCATAGAGATATTTTGTAGGGGAATCCTGTAGTGAAAAAAAGCACATTTTCACATCGTATGTAATTCTGTAAGAAACTGTTAGAGCTATTTTAGAAATAGGTGCACACCATCAATTGGTTACTCGAATCGGTCGATGAAATTTGCCTTTTGATAAGATACAACCTGTAAAACAAAACTGTAAAACAAAAAGTATTGGGATTTTTGGTCAGCAGAAAAACACAATTTTAGCATCATACTTTTAGATTATTTGAAATGGATAAAGACATTTGGAGCCTAGGCTTTTCTATTGGTGTTATATTCAACCCACTGAATTCTAATAGGATTCACTGTAGACTGTTAAGCTTTGTATCCTCCTTGCTGACGTGAATGAAGGCAGGACCTCCATCAATTGTCCAAAGAAAAACAAAAATCTCCTCTGCAGATACAATGAATTGCTAAATATCCCAAAATAAACTGTGGTCAGTGGACAAAAACCCTGCCAAGGGCTTGTTTTTTATATTCATTCTTTGATTTTCCTTCTCTTAAAAAGCAAGGCAATCAGTAAATCATCTATTTACCTCTTGAGACAACGTACAAAAAAAGGTTGCCAGTGGAACACCAACTTGACTGGAGCGTGTGTCTAATAGGTTTACTTTAATTGTGCTGGTACTTTTAAAACAATGTAGGAAATGTGAAGGACGATTTATGATGGCTGCTGAAGATCGGATACATTTCTGGAAAACAAGAGAGAAGGAAGCAGAGCACACTATGAAGCAGAACAGCCTGCAAAACACCTTCACTGTTTGTAATACTGCAGCAATTATCTTTACCTGCCAATAATAATTCTGTCACTCAATTGGCATTTTGCATTGGTGAATGAAGGCACCACCTCATTTACAGCTGTAAGATCATTTTAAAAACCAGCACCACTGTTTGTGCTTGGTATATCTTCCCAGACTGTTTAGATAGGGTCTGAAATTGGATGCTGGCCAAAAAAAAGGAAAATTCTAATTAATCTGTTGCCTTGATGGGGCAACACTGTTATTGTGGATGTTAATAATTTAGGTCTCTTCAATACCTGACAGATTATTTCCTGTGGATTTAAGACGAAGTTGGTTTGCATTTCAGAAGCATAATGACATATCTGGCAGACAATATATTGTACAGAGGAAATGATAACCATGAATTTGCTTTTATTTCTTCAGAGCGATTACAAAATGAAAGTCATATTTTTTTTATAACTGTTGGGTTCTCTTCTGGCAAATTCTAAGGTAAAAAATGTTATTCCTAAAAAGACAATTTAAGATTTCCTGTTTGGTGGGATAGTGATTCACAATCAGATTTCAGTGCAACCCCTCCCTCAGGTTACCAGTGAAAATAGATTTTCTTTTAGTCCAACATTATAGCTTGAGAGTTATTGGGTATATACCCAGAATATGATATTTTGAGAAAACTGTATGTTCATGAAATATGAGTTCTGCTACATTACAAAAGGCAGTTCCCGGTTTTGTTGGAAATTTTCTTTAAATGATCATTTTCACCTGATTTGTAATTTACCGGCATGTTATGCATCTGTCTATCAACATATCTTGAGGGACATTTTCATGTTTTATCTAGGAAACAGACATCTTTGATTCAAAATTCTGATATAGCTCGACTAAATTAACACTCAACACTCACTCTATCAACACCATAAATTGTTCAATCTGAAAGTGACACAATGGTTGAGAAAACGTTGTTGACACAGTGTAATATGTAGTTGCTTTCAGTGATGGCAGAGCTCTTAGGGAAATAGGAAGACAATGACATTTTCTATTAGTTTTTTTGAGGATGCATATTATTTCACTGAATAAAAAATGAACTTTTCTGCTTTTGAAGACAAACCTCTGACAGACTGTTTAATATTAGCAAGCATTTTATTGATTGCAATCTGTTCAGAAATGTTGTGTTGCACTGAGAGAATTCTATTCCTACTGTCATTCAAATAAATCCTTACAAATAAGAGGTTTGCTATATTCCATCTTAGTGAAATTCACACCTCAGGTTTACTCTCCTCTGCTGGATAAGTGACAAGACCTAGCTTGGAAAGCTAGCTTGGAAATAGTTTGACGAGGGAAGGAAAAATAGGAAAAGGTCAGTTGTCATATGCAAAAAAATGTACTTGGTGAGATTTCATGGTTAATCATTAGATGCAAATGAAAAACATACATATATTTAAAAAAAAACACGTAGGATTCCAATGTAAATGCATTTATATAGCGCTTTTCTAGTCAATGTGACTACTCAAAGTGCTTTAAACCATGTGTCATTCACCATTCACACACTGGTTCCACCAGTGGGCAAACCAGATGCAACCAGTAGCAATTTGGGGTTCGGAGCCTTACCCATGGACTCTTCGGCATGTGGTCAGGAGTTGACCACTTTTAAAACATACAACTACCCGTGTAATGGACAAATGTCATATTTTAATGGACACAGATAAAGCCAGTAATACATCACTGAGTTATTTCTTTGACACAAAATAGACATACCTTAGCTGACAGATTCGGAATGTAATATTTTCCTTTAAGTTGGGCTTATTTTACCAAATTAAATGGACACAATGTTGAAAAATCTATTAAACCACTGAATGAGACAATTTTGAAATCATTCACATAATTAATATATATGTTAATCTCATACATTGATATGCAGTCAGTTAGCACCGTCCCTCACAATAAGATGGTTCCTGGTTCAGTACCCAGACCTTCCTGTATGGAGTAAGCATGCTCTCCCTGTGTATGCTTGGGTTCACTCCGGGTACTCCGGTCCTCCCCCCACCCAAAAAAAAAGACTGTTTGGTTAACTAGACCCTCTAAACTTCCCCTTCGTGTGTGTGTGTCTTGCAATGTTCAGAGGAACATAGCTACATTCAATAATCACATTTATCAGCACATTATCATAAAGGGAGCAATGTCATAATCTGTTATTCAAACATCTTTGTCTGCTTTCTATAAAGTTTAGATCCTTTTTTAAGATAAAAACACTAAAGTAAGAGGCATGTACCACATTCACGGTTTGTGTTTGTTTTTTGTTCTTGTTTGTTTTTAATTTTTTGAATGTGATGTACTTCTTTTATGTTTAAAGTGCAGAGAAAATCCTTTCAAAGGATTTATTCCCCCCCCCACCCCAACCCCTAACCCCCCCAAGTAAAAAGTGGTGAAAAATTAAAGCAGCATTCCTGCACCTTCTATCTGTGTAAAACCTGTTAAAACATAAACTAGAAGGATATAGTGCAAGTAAAAGATGTGTTTGTCATTACCTGTGAAGGCTTGCAATATCTTTATCTACTTTGAGTTATTATCAACAGTCAAGCAGAGTCATGAAGTTACAGCTCCCTTAGTATTTGTAAACTATATACCTATACAGATATATATGTACAACAACAAACTACACTTATTAATGACATTTTGAAATAAGCATCTGCTATTGCAAACATTTTGATTGTATTTGAACACAGAGTAGGGGTTGACAAAAGTGAATGATGAACACAAACACATGTTACAAATTGCATATTCAAATGATCTGTAATCCTTAATCAGGAAAAAGTAGAAGTGAATTCATAAACTTTACAGTTCTCAGAATATCAGCATTCCAAACAAGTGACCTGTGCAGACGATGAGTGCTGCTGAAACTGAAGTCGCTACTTGTTCTTGTGTATTAGATTCCCCACTCTTTGAAAGAATCTCTCCAGCTTGTTCTCATTGTGCCCTTTTGCGCCCCTGGTGGAGTGGTATTCAGCAGCCCCCTCACCTTTAGGAAGACTTTTGGTTTTCTCCTGAGAGTGCACGTTGCCAGACCCACTGGCTTGAGAGTGTTTCTTATCAAATGCGCAGAAAGGCTCAAATCTGCTGTAGAGGCGATTTTCACCACCAGATCTTGAGCTTCTGTCAAAAAGGGAAGACTTCTTTTGTGTGGTGGTTTTTGTGAGCGAGCTTTTAGGTGAATGTTGGAATTCCTCCGTTAGGAAACGTGGTTTTGAATATTTTAGACTGTCATCGTCTTTTGTGTTCTTTTGTTTAGTTGTGCTTTGGGGATTTTTTGTCCCATCATATGGTTTCTCCTCATCTTCAGCTGTTAATGTGTTTGTACTTTCTGCTGAAGTCAGGCTTGGCGTCATTGTTTTGACGGCATTTTCCTTTTTCTCTGGTATGTTCATCAAAGTTTTTATTGCCATTGAATTCTTTTGAAAATATGGAGACCCCATGCTGTTAGCTTTTTTGGTCAAGTCCTTGCTGTCTAAATCCAAGGCTGCTGCAGACACCGCCCTGGATGGGGAGTCCTGCCAAGTGTGAATACTGTTAGTGTCTGTGATTTTCTTTACATCATAATGGGAGATGGATCGTTGATCTTCATTCATAGTTGATCCATATCTTCCATTTTTTGCATCAACTCCTGCTGTGGCTCTGTTATGTTGCGTTTTCGCAAAAGCTCCATACTTGTGAACTAGAGATTCACCCAGCTCAGTGTTTGATCGTGGGTCTGCCACACTGTGCCTTTTCTGCCAGCTGTCTGTCATGATGTCAGGGTTGCTGATTACCTGTCCACGTTTAGCCCTGCCTAAGCTAGCATATGAAGCTTGATACGAGTTTCTACCAGGACCATGAACTGGGTTATTGTGATTGTTCTCCAAAACCTGCAGACTTTGTCTCATTGAAACATACTCATCAGTATTCATTCTGTTTTCAGCCACTGTAGGATTCCACTGCATAGATGAATAGTGCAAAAGAGTGTTTGGTGTGGCTGTGGAGGTATTTGCATATCTTTGTGCCTCCATTTGTTCTGGTATGGCGGACCTTAAAGCAAGAGAGGTCCTCATTTTTCCCTGCATAGAGGAAAGGCTTTTGTCCATGTGTTCAAAATGGTCGATATAGTCATTTGAGTCTGCACATGAGATATCTGGGTTATTAAGGAAGGATTCTATCCTCAATGAGCGCATAAATGACTTGGAAGTGTTCTCTAAACTTGGCATGTTCTGCTGCATGCAAAGAACCTGTTTGTCTTTACCACTGTAAGACTTGCGCATGTGTTGGCCTTTGTATAACAATGGCACTTGCAAATAATTATCCATAGCATAGTTAATGGGTGCATGCCTTGTATCTCTGGAGATGTTCCAGTTGCTCCCTCTGGGCCTGGTGTTTTCGGGGATATATTCATCCTCCCTTTCCCCAGCATAGCTATGCCGTTTCAAGAAGTTCATTGCAGCTGTAGAATCATATTGGTGAAGTTGGGGTCCTTGAAGGCCGACGTCATTTCCTATTAAAGGCCTAAACATGTGACCATTCTCTTCAATGAGCCTGTCCTCTAGATCTCTTGTACCAAGTTTCCTCTCACAGGTTTTCCGATAGACTGTGTCTAAGGATTGCCGCAGCTGGTCTCTCCTCCCAATTTGTAGAGCAGAATGAGTTTTGGGCAAAATCTGTCGCTCCTGGGGTCCATTCCGTTGAAATAAACTCTCTGGTGGAGTGAGGGCATCAGGCAAAGTCGAGCGGGCATAGAGTGTTCGAAACTCCTCATCATACGACTTCACAAGAAATCCAGTGATGACCTGAACCATGCTCAAATTGATCTTCTCAAAAGACCACGAGAAGCTGAAAAACACACAAGACAAACATATTTCAAACTTTTTGAAGAACACATTCTCAAAATATGTTTTTTGTAATAATAACTTAAATGTTATTTATTCACTGCAGATCAAATGTCTGTAAGAAATCATCTGCAATTTTTTGTCTTAAAGGGTCATTAGGCAATGGCTTTCTCAGAACATTTAGTGGATACCTCAGTGATCTCAAACAAACAAATATAATTTTGTACTGCAGCTATATTTACCTGTATGATCCATAAATTGCTGTGTAGCAGTCGATTAAAAGAAACTTCTGCCCCATTGCTCCATGAAATTTTGCTCCTGATCGACAGAGGTAATTCTGACCTTTCACAGTGCGCACCCTCATGTTCTGTTGAAAGGGACACGTCACTGTTAAATTTCACACTATTTATTAAGTGCATTGGTGACCAAGTAAACTTTAAAGAACAAATGCCACTGTGTTGTGTATTCATGCAGATTATTCCAGTCGCTACTGTGTTGTTGTTGTTGGCACACAAAATGCATTTAAGGGAATTCTTTCAAGGGTAAGTTTGAGTCTTTGGAATCCCTTAGAATAAAGTGCGACTCCACCCAATGAACAAGAACAACCAGGTCATCAAATGATTACCGCTCTCAGTTAAGCTCTGTTACACAAGAAGCAACTGAGCAATAATCCATTTATAATGAAACCTGAATTATTGCAAAGGCCAAAAGCAAAGTTAAATGCTTTTGATTCATTTTTAATGTTTTTAAAATGTCCATATAGCCATTGACCAAAGCTGAATCTACATAAAAATGTGCATGGGAATAAATGTAGTGAAAAAAAGAGGGTGAAATAAAGAAACCCTAGAAAAAAAAACCCTACCCTAAGTTGATGAAGTTTGACATCTTGATTTTCAGCCATTTTAAGGAAACTTTTCAAATGGAAATCATCCAATAGGACATAGACTGGAACTCCTCGCACAGACGCTTCTACAACTTCTTTGAATATATCCACATCAGTGAACACGTCCATCACGATGGCAATGACCTGTGAGGACGAGAACAAGGGTCAGGATGGTGTTTTTCATCAAAAACAAATATTCAACGATAAAGATTTATCTGACAAATAGAGAAAAACAGATTGGCATAAAAATCTGTTCTGAACAAAAGAGGATGAGCAAAAGTGGTAAGAGATGGCTAAATTTCCACAGGATTCAATAATAAGGCCTGCAATATGCATTTGTAATAAAGACAACTATTGATCCCAGCTCGCTTTCAATCAATCCAGGAACACATTTTGTTTGTCGGCAGACTGGGTTAAAATACTTTTTCTCAGTTTTGTAATTTGACTTCTAAATCAGAGCAACTAAAATAAAACTTCAATATAAGAAAATGTGCCATTAATGACAACGCACAAAGAGTAACTGAGGCTGTTGTGAGCAGCAATCCCATTCTGCCTTCGTTTTGTGTGAGGTTAGTGGATAGAGGTCATCTTTCACTGAAGATGACCAGAACTTGCTGATACCTTTAGTCTCCAGCAGCCTTAATATGGACAGGATTAGATCTTTTAATGTTGCAGTTCTGATAGACGAGTGACTGAGAGGATGTGTTTATTGCTGTAGGAGTGTGACAGCAGCACCACATTAGCAGTAACAGATTTGTAGAGTAACAAACGTTTACTCTCCACAGTTGACAAAACAAATAAATTGTGAAAGCCTGGAAACAAATTTATTCACAAAGATTCTGTGTTTTTTTCTGTAAAATAGTTCTGACAAAGATAACTTGCAGAACCAGATTTTGACATGAACCAAATCAGGAGACACTCCTTTTATCTATAAGTGGCACTAACCTGACATGAAAGGAGGTTGTGCCACGCTTTGGGAGAGCTTTTAAACAGAGTGTATTATTCTTTGTATAGTGTTCTCTGTACAAGTTCTTTTTACCTGTCTTGCATCCTGAATATTCTTCCGGATCACTTCTTTTATGGTTGGGTTGTTTAATCTTGGTGGATTAAAGAGCAGATCTATATTTGTCTGAGGTTTTTCGTACAGGACCTCTGGCCATCCCAAATCTAAATCTGGAGTTTCTACATCTGAGTGCATGGGCCAGTATGTCCCAGAGGAAGACTCATTGTCTGGTATACTGCTGACTTCCTCTGCAGTGTTGTTTTGAGCTTTCAGATGTTCTATATTGGCTGTGATGAAGAGAATCTCATCCTCAGAGAGAAGGCTCCCTATTCTTTCTTCCTTGATGAACTCATGGTAACCATCTATGCCGTCTTGTGCGAGGCGATCAATTGCCAGGCGATACGACTCCTTATAATGAGGCTTAATGTAATTCTCTGGTTTAAAATCTCCTCTGAGTGATGACATCAGGGAAAAGTCTGGAGAATCCATCACTCCTGACTGCTTCTTTAGGACCTGCCAGAGATAATGGAGATCAATGACATGGTGTAAGAGGATCAAAGAACAAACATAACAGAGGAGAAAATGTTGGCTGTTGGTAAGCTTGATGTGATGAGTCAAAGTAAACTGTAAAACAAACTTGTGGTTTTCACGGTATGGATTATCTATAAAGTTGTCAGGCCTTTAGCAAGCTTAAAATGCAACATTTTAAATAGTTTCAACAGCAACTAATCTCAGCTTTTAATGCACAATTTGGGTGTAAAAAAACAGAAAGCAGGGATTTAAATACAGCAAAATGCAGGTTGTTGAACAGCAATACTGATACAAACATGTAACCCACTCTACTACCACTCACAGAGGATGTTGAATACACCAAAATAGTTTCTGGTGTTTTCTAAAAGCAGCAGGTAATTAGCCGACAATGAAATGTACTCATTCATGACAGAGAAAGTAGGAACTATGAGCTAATACATGAGCAGCTGATTAGGATGTCCCGATTAGCACAAAATTATCAGACATGGCAATTTTCTTAAGAATAGTGATTCAGTTCATCTGTAAATTTATAGTACCATGCTCACATATCTGTTTGCTACACATGCTTATAATGTTTCAGTGTTCACTATGTCAGAGTTGGCTGATACTGTGATAATACTGTAGAACACCTGATTAAAGTTCTGACTGACGTCAAATTAAAGGTTAGATGATGCTATTTCATTAATATTTAAACAGACATTTTTCTAAAAATTTTATAACAACACAATACTTCAGACATTTCTTATTGAACTATTTTTACTTAAAAACAAACATTAAAACTGCAGCGTCTTTAGCATTTTTATTAATAACCTTCACACTACATAACAATCTTGTATAAATATCCTATTTAGGCATACATGTTAACTCAAAACTCAAGTGATCAGTATTTTCCTGTGTGTTCGCTGCTCTTACAGAGCTTCTGCTTTTTTATGAACACCTTTGCCAAACATAAAAACACAGGTAGGTAGCCACAGCACCATTATATCTTTCTTAACAACTGTAACTTACATTTGGATATTGACCTTTGTGGAAATCCTGCTCAATGCTCCGAAAATATCCTTCTTCAACTGATTTACTTGCAGCTTATGTTCAGTTTTCGGAACAGTCTCTGACAGCCATCTGGAAGAGACAAAGGCAAGGAGGTGTCTGAACATGATAAGCAGCCTGCAGATAGAGGGTGTGGATTCCAGTTTTCACATGTAAATGTCTCACTCGAAACTGGTTTGCAGGCAGACATAAACCTGTTTGAGACTTTTAGCCATGCCCCCTTCTTCCTGGGAACAAAGTTCACACCGCAGAGAATCAAGATAATAAGGACATAAAGAGGCTTTGATAAATACTTCAGCATTACTGGACCAGGACTTTATTCAGTGTTGAGAAATTGTACGCAAACCAAATCGATAATATATTATTATGCAGTGTTTTTTCTTTTCTTTATGAAATAATTCATCTAATTTATAACTATTATTTAACCACATAAGTGTAAACTGCAAAGCTGTGTAACAACTAAAACGTTTGTGTTGTAGGGAGGGGTTTTCAGGCAATTCTCACAACCACAAAGTACAATTTGAAAAATGAAGAAAAGAAAAACCCTGTTCACTATCTAATCTTGAATTTGACTGAAATATCCATGTGACACAATCCATATGTCAGTTGTTGTATTTAACCTGGTGTAATATTCAAATGCTCTCATGGCTTTTATTGTATGGAGACTCTTATTTTGTAGTTGCATTTTCCAGGGAAGTTGCATTTTCCAGGGAAAAGCAGAAAGCATGGAGTGTTACCACAGAATTCCATCCTGTAAAGAGTGCAAAGTGGTTAGCCAGTTTCTTAGTCACCAGTTATTGTGTGCATATTCAGTTCAGACTGAAGAAGAAAATATTACTGCTCAAATTATAATGAATAATTTGCCTAAAAGTGAAAGGCATGCCTCAAGATTTGAGTCTGGGTATTTTCCAGTACATTCTGAGGATCCAGCACACTGATAAATCACGAAGCTCTGGTTTGTGTTCAGTCAGCATCTTTCTTGTAAATACAAAAATAAATTCAAGCCTTTCATTACAGTTAAATTCTTTTAAAGTTTGATTCATTTTAGTGTAGTAGTGAAATGCTTGAGTATGAATAATGTTCCAAATTAGTGCAGCATGGGGGAGTTGACAATAAATGTTCCTGCAGCATTCTAATGTTTTCATCTGGCAGTATAAATCATTCTTACATTTTACTGTGATAAAATATGTGAACATGATCAATTTTAGATTACATGTTCTTATGTTCTCCATTTCTGCTGCTCATTAAATGTGGACTGGTTGGGGGTAGTGTCAATTTCTAGTTTGATTTCTTAGGAGTAAGCACTTTAAATGAACAGAATAATGCATAATGATAACCTACAACATGACAGGGTGTTCTTTTCATAGTCTGTACATCTGTCCAAGGCAGCTGTTAAAAAAGAATGTTTCAGCCTGCATGTGATACAGGAACTTTAGCTGTTATCAACCCCAGAGGAGGATTCAGATCAATTAGGTTTTGAAAAATAACTCAACGCTTTACTCTAGAGCCGTAACTAACATATATGAGAAACCTCTTCAAATGGTTAAGGTTAGGGTTGCTTCAGGTTGGGTTTGATGATTACAAATATTTAGAAAGAATGGTTTCACTTTAAGGGGATACCTGATAGCTTTTCCCTCTGGCAGTTATACAAATATGACTCTACTTGCACTCTGACAGGCAGCTACTGCGGTCAGGTTGACTCAGAAGAAAATGGAGGAAATTGTTCATTTTGATGTTTTCCAACAAAGTTTCACTACTCTTTTTTCACAGTGGGCTAAATCCAAGCAAACATTACTCTTAGAGGTTTAAGGAACTTTATAGCTGAACTGTCAGTCATATTTGTTAAGTTACTATAAATACATTATTTATTCGTTTTATTCAGTGCTTGGATTAATTTTTCCTTTTTTAAATTGATATTGAATTAATATTTAAAGGTAAACTAAATAATTTGTGTATTAATTTAAATACATTTCTTTTTTCCGTCTTGGCAGTTGTGTCAATGAGATAAAGTCAGGAAACTGAATCATCCTTCTTGTGAAATGATGTATGTTTTCCAATGACTTATCAAATATTGTATTTGTTGTGATGTAATGTGTTTTTGGGCTCATCTAATGAACCATTCATTGATGGATATTCCAAGAAATGTTTCAATAACTATCATCAGACCCACGATTAATGACGTAGATATGTTGAAGTTGTCTCCTTTTTTGAGACTTCAACGCCCCTGGCTGGACCAACAAGTTTTACAGACTAAAGCCACAAATAATTAGATATCTGCACCATTGTTCAGTTCTCATCTTGAGTCCCTGGGAGTTTCTTCTCCTTGTGAGTCATCTGTAGAGGCACCCAGCCTCTGTCGTCAACAGCTCAAGGCTGTTCTCAGCAGCCAATGGCAAGCCTGAGCAAGTTCACTGGAATGAAGAGCCTTTTTTCAGTCCACCTGTAGCATGGACATTTGGAAACAAAGGAGCATGAATTTGACTATGCAAACCGATCCTTCTTAAATATGATAACTTGTTCTGAAACTAACTTACATGCATCATGTTCATTGTTTTTTTTTAACTCTGGTGCAATAATAGCAATGTTCACAACGTCAGCAATGTGTAATTGCAGGGTTGCTTGGAACATTACAGTTATCAGTATAGTATGTGTAATTCCTGGAACATTTGTACATTTACAGTTAAGCCTGTGATTAGGATAAAACTGGTAGCTCTACTTTTCAGCTAATACACAGGAAGAAGAGTTGTTTAACCAGTTTATTCGATATGTTTGATAATACTTTTCACAGTGGTTTAAATTAGAAAAATCTCAGTTCATGTTAGGAGTTCAAAACAGAACTCAAGTTTGGCACATTTACTTGTAAACTTTGTTTCCTGCTTGAATGCACTTCCTACATCTGTCACCGTAGGCGATTACTAACCAAATGGTAGCAGAAGAACAGATGATGTGCACAGGTTTAATTTTAAAGCACCTACAAAACCCAGAACCACCAGGAAAAAAACGTTTCAATCCATCTTCTTGAATCTTTCTATTGAACCTATGACAGTATATTATCAAAGCTAATCATCAATGAAGCGTATTTTGTAGATGGTAGAATTCATCAGCTGATTAACAATATGTATTAACCTAGGATTGATTTAAGGTTTTAAAAACTGACACCCAAGAGATAACACAGCAAGATAATTGTGTGACAGCCCTCAGTTATCTTGCAGTCTGTCTCAGGTGTCAACGAAATCTCATAACAGATTGTAAAAATGTATGTTGGTCCATGGAGAAATTTAAAACCACTTTACAGACTTGTTTTCCTCCTTCCTTGTTACTCCAGTATAATGATGTCACTGTTTTGGGTTTTTTTCCCGGCCGGGTTAGACAAAGGTTCCATGTGAGGGTAAAGGAGGAGGAGATGGGTACTGATACACCCTTTAGCTGTCAAGCATGAAATCACTAGATCAAATGGCAACCATTTACAGCTTTTCTTAGGACTTTTCGTCTTTTGCCCCGTCACTGAGTTTCTGGAATTCTACAAATTTGGTCAATGGAAAAGTGCAGATCAGGGTGAATAATGAGTCTGCATGTTTAGGTATTCCAAAAATTAGGGTTAGGGTTACAAAAACCGCCAATGTCACAGACTATGTGGCTCATAGGGTAGAATTGTCTCACAGGTCAATTTGCAATCTTCGTGCAGACAGATTGCAAATTGATCTTTAGACCTGGTGGGTAGTTGGAAAGACCTTAACAGAGTGTAGAGCAGGGCTGAGAACTTCTACATGTTAGGATGAGGCGCACGCAGCTGATTTTGACAAACTCTCACAACACATGTCTACTCTTTCACTTGGTATGAAACAAATCGAATCAGATTCATAACTGGGTTCACCACAGTGGGGAAAGTGAGAGAAGGGGGCTGATTGCAGCAGTGTAGAAGACAGAGGACCACAGCTACCAGGTCATGGTGAAGGAGAGAGGAAAATGACTAATCAGATAGGTAGCCGTTCCCTTTTTTTTTTTTTAGCCTTTCTGTCATTTAGTCTGGCTGCATTGACAGTAAAATGACGGTGACAGTTTCATTAGTTTTAATTGTCTGTACTTTGGTGAAACTGTGTAGTTGTACTGTAACGTGCAACTCTTATATTCAACACTGTTCAACGTGGCTGAATCATTTGATAAAAATATTGTCATTTTCAGTCTTTCAGTAACGTTGCATGAGTAGAGCTCCCTTTACTAAACTTCTCAAACCAAATATGAACGTGTTCCAGGTCTTTTTATCCTCAAAGTCAATTTGATGACATGCTGACGTACACGGTCAGTTACAAAAACTGTAGGTGGTGATTTTACTGAGAGAGAGAACATTAGTGGTGACATGTTAAGTGCAGTGATACATAGAGTGAGAAGGGAGTGTTTCGACCCTCAGGAGCTATATCATATCATGCAATAACATGTGTTTGAATAAATTATTCAAATAAAGATTCTGGTAAAAAATTAATTAATTAATTAAAGATTAACTCCAAAGTTCTTCAGTGTAGTGGTTGAAGCCTTGGAAAGGTTTTCTAGAATAGTGACATAAAAAGAAGGTTCCTGCCTTAGTTTTGAATTTATTCATTTAGAAACAAGAAATTCAGAGTCATCCAAATGTTTTTTACTCTCTGACATAAATTTCAGCTCAACTAAATTATTCATTCTACCTGGTTTTATAAAAGATTTTTTAACTGGTTTCATAGAAGGTCCACAATGATCTCATGATTTCTGCCATGCTGTCTAATAATGTAAACAATGGAAGAATTGTTAAAGTAAAACAGAATATGTACAAACCCAGATTAACATAGTGACTTTTTGGGATGTGGGAAGAATATTCGTTATGTTGATTAACTAATTTAGATCTATTCGATTTGTATGACTTTAACCATTCTAGTGCATTCCTCTTAATCCTAATGAAATGATTGAGTCTCTGTAACTAAGTTATTGATATTGTGTCCAATCGTATCAAAAGCAGCATAAAAATCCAGCAGAACAAGCACAGACACAAGCCCACTGTCAGAGGCTGACAGAGGATCATTGATAACTATCACCAGGGCTGTGTCTGTTAAACTCTTCAAACAGACTATGTCTGGGCTAATGATAACAAAATTGAACAGCAACAGCTTTCTCATGAA